CCTGATACCTTAAATACTGCTTATAAATCAAAGGTTAGTTTAGTTACAGAGCAGGTGGACTAGGACCTGATACCTTAAATACTGCTTATAAATCAAAGGTTAGTTTAGTTACAGAGCAGGTGGACTAGGACCTGATACCTTAAATACTGCTTATAAATCAAAGGTTAGTTTAGTTACAGAGCAGGTGGACTAGGACCTGATACCTTAAATACTGCTTATAAATCAAAGGTTAGTTTAGTTACAGAGCAGGTGGACTAGGACCTGATACCTTAAATACTGCTTATAAATCAAAGGTTAGTTTAGTTACAGAGCAGGTGGACTAGGACCTGATACCTTAAATACTGCTTATAAATCAAAGGTTAGTTTAGTTACAGAGCAGGTGGACTAGGACCTGATACCTTAAATACTGCTTATAAATCAAAGGTTAGTTTAGTTACAGAGCAGGTGGACTAGGACCTGATACCTTAAATACTGCTTATAAATCAAAGGTTAGTTTAGTTACAGAGCAGGTGGACTAGGACCTGATACCTTAAATACTGCTTATAAATCAAAGGTTAGTTTAGTTACAGAGCAGGTGGACTAGGACCTGATACCTTAAATACTGCTTATAAATCAAAGGTTAGTTTAGTTACAGAGCAGGTGGACTAGGACCTGATACCTTAAATACTGCTTATAAATCAAAGGTTAGTTTAGTTACAGAGCAGGTGGACTAGGACCTGATACCTTAAATACTGCTTATAAATCAAAGGTTAGTTTAGTTACAGAGCAGGTGGACTAGGACCTGATACCTTAAATACTGCTTATAAATCAAAGGTTAGTTTAGTTACAGAGCAGGTGGACTAGGACCTGATACCTTAAATACTGCTTATAAATCAAAGGTTAGTTTAGTTACAGAGCAGGTGGACTAGGACCTGATACCTTAAATACTGCTTATAAATCAAAGGTTAGTTTAGTTACAGAGCAGGTGGACTAGGACCTGATACCTTAAATACTGCTTATAAATCAAAGGTTAGTTTAGTTACAGAGCAGGTGGACTAGGACCTGATACCTTAAATACTGCTTATAAATCAAAGGTTAGTTTAGTTACAGAGCAGGTGGACTAGGACCTGATACCTTAAATACTGCTTATAAATCAAAGGTTAGTTTAGTTACAGAGCAGGTGGACTAGGACCTGATACCTTAAATACTGCTTATAAATCAAAGGTTAGTTTAGTTACAGAGCAGGTGGACTAGGACCTGATACCTTAAATACTGCTTATAAATCAAAGGTTAGTTTAGTTACAGAGCAGGTGGACTAGGACCTGATACCTTAAATACTGCTTATAAATCAAAGGTTAGTTTAGTTACAGAGCAGGTGGACTAGGACCTGATACCTTAAATACTGCTTATAAATCAAAGGTTAGTTTAGTTACAGAGCAGGTGGACTAGGACCTGATACCTTAAATACTGCTTATAAATCAAAGGTTAGTTTAGTTACAGAGCAGGTGGACTAGGACCTGATACCTTAAATACTGCTTATAAATCAAAGGTTAGTTTAGTTACAGAGCAGGTGGACTAGGACCTGATACCTTAAATACTGCTTATAAATCAAAGGTTAGTTTAGTTACAGAGCAGGTGGACTAGGACCTGATACCTTAAATACTGCTTATAAATCAAAGGTTAGTTTAGTTACAGAGCAGGTGGACTAGGACCTGATACCTTAAATACTGCTTATAAATCAAAGGTTAGTTTAGTTACAGAGCAGGTGGACTAGGACCTGATACCTTAAATACTGCTTATAAATCAAAGGTTAGTTTAGTTACAGAGCAGGTGGACTAGGACCTGATACCTTAAATACTGCTTATAAATCAAAGGTTAGTTTAGTTACAGAGCAGGTGGACTAGGACCTGATACCTTAAATACTGCTTATAAATCAAAGGTTAGTTTAGTTACAGAGCAGGTGGACTAGGACCTGATACCTTAAATACTGCTTATAAATCAAAGGTTAGTTTAGTTACAGAGCAGGTGGACTAGGACCTGATACCTTAAATACTGCTTATAAATCAAAGGTTAGTTTAGTTACAGAGCAGGTGGACTAGGACCTGATACCTTAAATACTGCTTATAAATCAAAGGTTAGTTTAGTTACAGAGCAGGTGGACTAGGACCTGATACCTTAAATACTGCTTATAAATCAAAGGTTAGTTTAGTTACAGAGCAGGTGGACTAGGACCTGATACCTTAAATACTGCTTATAAATCAAAGGTTAGTTTAGTTACAGAGCAGGTGGACTAGGACCTGATACCTTAAATACTGCTTATAAATCAAAGGTTAGTTTAGTTACAGAGCAGGTGGACTAGGACCTGATACCTTAAATACTGCTTATAAATCAAAGGTTAGTTTAGTTACAGAGCAGGTGGACTAGGACCTGATACCTTAAATACTGCTTATAAATCAAAGGTTAGTTTAGTTACAGAGCAGGTGGACTAGGACCTGATACCTTAAATACTGCTTATAAATCAAAGGTTAGTTTAGTTACAGAGCAGGTGGACTAGGACCTGATACCTTAAATACTGCTTATAAATCAAAGGTTAGTTTAGTTACAGAGCAGGTGGACTAGGACCTGATACCTTAAATACTGCTTATAAATCAAAGGTTAGTTTAGTTACAGAGCAGGTGGACTAGGACCTGATACCTTAAATACTGCTTATAAATCAAAGGTTAGTTTAGTTACAGAGCAGGTGGACTAGGACCTGATACCTTAAATACTGCTTATAAATCAAAGGTTAGTTTAGTTACAGAGCAGGTGGACTAGGACCTGATACCTTAAATACTGCTTATAAATCAAAGGTTAGTTTAGTTACAGAGCAGGTGGACTAGGACCTGATACCTTAAATACTGCTTATAAATCAAAGGTTAGTTTAGTTACAGAGCAGGTGGACTAGGACCTGATACCTTAAATACTGCTTATAAATCAAAGGTTAGTTTAGTTACAGAGCAGGTGGACTAGGACCTGATACCTTAAATACTGCTTATAAATCAAAGGTTAGTTTAGTTACAGAGCAGGTGGACTAGGACCTGATACCTTAAATACTGCTTATAAATCAAAGGTTAGTTTAGTTACAGAGCAGGTGGACTAGGACCTGATACCTTAAATACTGCTTATAAATCAAAGGTTAGTTTAGTTACAGAGCAGGTGGACTAGGACCTGATACCTTAAATACTGCTTATAAATCAAAGGTTAGTTTAGTTACAGAGCAGGTGGACTAGGACCTGATACCTTAAATACTGCTTATAAATCAAAGGTTAGTTTAGTTACAGAGCAGGTGGACTAGGACCTGATACCTTAAATACTGCTTATAAATCAAAGGTTAGTTTAGTTACAGAGCAGGTGGACTAGGACCTGATACCTTAAATACTGCTTATAAATCAAAGGTTAGTTTAGTTACAGAGCAGGTGGACTAGGACCTGATACCTTAAATACTGCTTATAAATCAAAGGTTATTTGTGATTTTGACACCACCTAGGGGACCAATTTGCGGGACTTAGAGTATTTATTCCTTGACCAATTTTTGATTTCGACCCAGCCAAAAAAGTTTCAATAGTATGTCGCTCACGGTTTTCGCGGTAATCGCCTTAACATGCTCAAAACCATGCTTTGGGGTGCTTCATTTGTAGCTACTAGTCTCCTGAACACAAATATAAAGTTTTATCAAAATTGGATAAAAATTGGCTGAGTTATGAGTAAAATACTATATTACCATATTTGGGCATATGCACCAATTTTGATAGATTTTAACCCATAAATTGGTCAATTATCAATGTTTTTAGATGAGACAAACTTTGCACATTTCAGAATTTGGCAGCCAAAGTTTTTTAAAGGCCCAACTCAAAATTCCACTCCAAAACTTAAGGTCATTAGGCAATTCTACGTTGGTTCTGAAAATTTCATGAAATAATATTGAAACCCTATTGAATTCTATTATTTTGAGCGAAATCAGTTTCGCGAATATCGCGAACTGAGAAATGGTCGATTTTGTTCATTTTTTGCGATTATTTGAACACAGAATCCACAGTTAGGTAGATATTGAGCTGATAAACATAGAGAATGTGTAGTATAGGCTTACCTTTCATATAAATCTGATATATTACTGGTGCCGCTCGCTTACAAGTAAATGTATTAGCTCAGTATCTCAGCTCAGCGTCCAGACTTAGTAACACAGCTGGAGTTGCTGATACGACTTGAGGTGTTCACTTTTTGAAGCAATAACTAACTTCCCGCTAACTTCTACAGTGTATTAACATATGACATAAAAGATTCGTTTTCACTTGTTTGCATGAAAAGCATTAATTGAAAAAGAGGTTTTGCCGCTTTTCATAAAAAATGGAACAAATGAGTGTCTCTTCATGGTCAGCTCCTCGCCATGTTGATTAGCAGTTTTCTCTCAGATGTGTCCTTGTACCTCGTCCCAAACCCGAGGCCAGTCGTGCCTACTAACTCTTAGTTGTGAAGTTGTGACGTCATGACAAGTGGTGTGGTCTTTCAGCTCTTTGGGATAAACCTCATGGTAAAAATACACTTTTTTGATGTGGGGCCAGGGGTCACTTGAGTTACAAAATTGATGTCCCTTAATTAGGAGGTGCACTACTATAATAATATGTAGATGTTCTTCAGCTGCAATCCTTTCTGGTCTCTACTCCTGTAGAGGACGTTGTGGTACAAGGATGTGCAGTCCCTGGCCACGTTTCAAGGAATATATTACACATTGCCTCAAGCTCTCTCACTTATGTGGTGGGAAGGTTGTATACAGTAAACCCCATTCCCATGACATCTTAATAATGATGAGGTGGTTATAAACCTGTCGCTTCTAACATAACAATAATTAAGTATCCGAAAAGTTGAATGGGATAAATTGAAACTACTAATTCTCTAAATAAGGTCAAAAACATTAAGCACACCTTACTCTCAGTTATAGTATAGCGGGATCCTGTGTTCCTCTATATTATATGGATTAAGATATAGAATATATCAAAACAAACAAGTTCTATAGAATATATCAAAACAAACAAGTTCTATAGAATATATATCAAAACAAACAAGTTCTATAGAATACATCAAAACAAGAAAGTTCTATCAAACCTAAGTATTAAATTGTTACAATAATATAAATAGTTCATGACACAATGTTTTAGGATTTATAACATATAAAAAAGTAATTTAACTCGAAAAGAAAGTATTTAGTTGATAAGATGATTGCTCAAATCAGACAGTTCCAACTTGAAAAGGTTTAGTTTCATAGAGGTAAAGGTAGGGCTACACCACGTGTCATGACGTCACACCACGTGTCATGACGTCATACCACGTGTCATGACGTCACACCACGTGTCATGACGTCACACCACGTGTCATGACGTCACACCACGTGTCATGACGTCACACCACGTGTCATGACGTCACACCACGTGTCATGACGTCACACCACGTGTCATGACGTCACACCACGTGTCATGACGTCACACCACTTGTCATGACGTCACACCACGTGTCATGACGTCACACCACGTGTCATGACGTCACACCATGTGTCATGACGTCACACCACGTTTCATGACGTCACACCACGTGTCATGACGTCACACCACGTGTCATGACGTCACACCACGTGTCATGACGTCACACCACGTGTCATGACGTCACACCACGTGTCATGACGTCACACCACGTGTCATGACGTCACACCACGTGTCATGACGTCACACTAAAGGTAGGGCTACACACTTTCTTCTTATCTTCCTCTTCTCGTATTGCTAGAGTAGACAAGCTGTCAGTAAGAAATAGAACCATTCCTACTTATAGGGCTGAACTAAAAGTTAAGTGCGGAAAGCCGAAAGTCATTACAGAATTACCAAATTATATCAATCAACCATTCTCATATTTTCCACTATTGAGTTAGCACTTACCATTTCATGGGAGTGTGCTGAGTTGTTACAGAGCGCGCCGCACACGTGCAAGTTGGGTAACGTTCTCATAGCAGACTGCAACATCTCGCAAAATACCTGCAGCCGGTTTGGCGAATATTAGAAAACATGCACTATTTTTAGAAAACATGCACTATTTAGCTATTTTTGTCACATTTTTTACTAAAATGTTTGTAAACCAAATTATCATCTTCCACTACAGGATTTTAAAATGCAACTAATTTTAGCTCGAAAAATTAAATTTTATTTGCAAATAATTATCACAAATGAAAATATATAATGTCGGTATGGATTAATCTTTATTGCCTAAATGAATTGATTTTAATACCTTAACCAAGTACAGCGATTGAATGATAAGTAAGCGTTAATAGCTGATTAATTAATAGTATTATTGAACTAACAGGGTCAGCGGGTCGTCTCATGAAGCAGTAAGTGAGTCTACATTGAGTGTCATGACGTCACACCACGTGTCATGACGTCACACCACGTGTCATGACGTCACACCACGTGTCATGACGTCACACCACGTGTCATGACGTCACACCACGTGTCATGACGTCACACCACGTGTCATGACGTCACACTTAATAATAGTATTATTTAACTAACAGGGTCAGTGGGTCGTCTCATGAAGCAGTAAGTGAGTCTACATTGAGTGTCATGACGTCACACCACGTGTCATGACGTCACACCACGTGTCATGACGTCACACTTAATAATAGTATTATTTAACTAACAGGGTCAGTGGGTCGTCTCATGAAGCAGTAAGTGAGTCTACATTGAGGATTGTGGATGAGAATCCTCTTGTTGTAGTAGTATCTCAGTGCTCTGGAGAACTTGTCGAAGTTCATCTTCTCCCTGTTCTTTATAATCCCCCACCTTCTGGCTATCTCTTCTTTGTTAACTATACGGAACTCCAGGTCGTTACCTGTCCACGCAGCTATATCCGTGTGGGATCCTAAAATTGTTTGACTTCATATTCTGGCAAAAGGTATTGAATTGAAAACAATGTACGCAGTGGTCCCTATACTCTGGTGTATGTAGAGGGAGTAGGAGAAATATGAGTTACAAACCGAGAAGTCTCATCAAGAACTGCCAGAGATTGTTTCCTTTCTGTATCTGTTCGTCTTTAGACATTCTCTTAACGTATTTTCTCTTCGTTTCTGTCTTCTCTGGCAATACTGGTCTTATATCTTGTCTGATCCTGAAAGGGTTTCGTGTCAGGTGGCGTCATTCAGTCACTTAGCAAAACTCACAGCTTGGGACCACACTTACAGCAGGGGGCATATTCACAGCAGGGGACCACACTTACAGCAGGGGGGCATACTTACAGCAGGGGACCACACTTACAGCAGGGGACCACACTTACAGCAGGGGGGCATACTTACAGCAGGGGACCACACTTACAGCAGGGGACCACACTTACAGCAGGGGACCACACTTACAGCAGGGGACCACACTTACAGCAGGGGACCACACTTACAGCAGGGGGGCCTATTCAGTATTCACAGCAGGGGACCACACTTACAGCAGGGGACCACACTTACAGCAGGGGACCACACTTACAGCAGGGGACCACACTTACAGCAGGGGACCACACTTACAGCAGGGGGGCCTATTCAGTATTCACAGCAGGGGACCACACTTACAGCAGGGGACCACACTTACAGCAGGGGACCACACTTACAGCAGGGGACCACACTTACAGCAGGGGACCACACTTACAGCAGGGGGGCCTATTCAGTATTCACAGCAGGGGACCACACTTACAGCAGGGGACCACACTTACAGCAGGGGACCACACTTACAGCAGGGGACCACACTTACAGCAGGGGACCACACTTACAGCAGGGGGGCCTATTCAGTATTCACAGCAGGGGACCACACTTACAGCAGGGGACCACACTTACAGCAGGGGACCACACTTACAGCAGGGGAGCACACTTACAGCAGGGGACCACACTTACAGCAGGGGGGCCTATTCAGTATTCACAGCAGGGGACCACACTTACAGCAGGGGACCACACTTACAGCAGGGGGCATATTCACAGCAGGGGACCACACTTACAGCAGGGGCCCACACTTACAGCAGGGGACCACACTTACAGCAGGGGACCACACTTACAGCAGGGGATCACACTTACAGCAGGGGCCCACACTTACAGCAGGGGACCACACTTACAGCAGGGGACCACACTTACAGCAGGGGACCACACTTACAGCAGGGGACCACACTTACAGCAGGGGACCACACTTACAGCAGGGGACCACACTTACAGCAGGGGACCACACTTACAGCAGGGGACCACACTTACAGCAGGGGACCACACTTACAGCAGGGGACCACACTTACAGCAGGGGGCATATTCACAGCAGGGGACCACACTTACAGCAGGGGCCCACACTTACAGCAGGGGGGCCTATTCAGTATTCACAGCAGGGGACCACACTTACAGCAGGGGGCATATTCACAGCAGAAGACCACACTTACAGCAGGGGCCCACACTTACAGCAGGGGACCACACTTACAGCAGGGGACCACACTTACAGCAGGGGATCACACTTACAGCAGGGGCCCACACTTACAGCAGGGGACCACACTTACAGCAGGGGACCACACTTACAGCAGGGGACCACACTTACAGCAGGGGCCCACACTTACAGCAGGGGACCACACTTACAGCAGGGGATCACACTTACAGCAGGGGCCCACACTTACAGCAGGGGACCACACTTACAGCAGGGGACCACACTTACAGCAGGGGACCACACTTACAGCAGGGGACCACACTTACAGCAGGGGACCACACTTACAGCAGGGGACCACACTTACAGCAGGGGGCATATTCACAGCAGGGGACCACACTTACAGCAGGGGCCCACACTAACGGCAGGGGACCACACTAACGGCAGGGGACCACACTTACAGCAGGGGACCACACTTACAGCAGGGGACCACACTTACAGCAGGGGACCACACTTACAGGGGGGGGGCAATTAGCTATAACCATAAAGAAATCAACAACTTGATCTCACTTTAACATTTTTTGCACATTACTACAGGACTCAGTGACGTCATAACAGTGACTAACCTTTGAAAAGAAACGTTATTCTGAGTGCTGAAGTTAGGGTTTATGCACCTGCTGATAACTGGTCTCTGGCCTCCTGCCAGGACTCTCAAGTTTTGCTGGTGTTCAGGAGTCCCGAAGCCTAGTAGTTTCTGTAGCGAGAACCTGTGATCTGATATAGACTGCAACTGTGGAAATGCATTTCTCTGTCCCTGCGAGGTGATCACTGCATCACGTGACGTTAGCAGAGAATCTCGTGACGTCACGTGAGACTGCAAATGAGGGAATACAGTACGTCCCGCTACCAGTTCTTGATCGGCGAGATAATTAGGAGAGTTGGTCTTGGAGCATGAAAGAAGTGTCTGCTGGAGATTAACTACGGTGCTTTGTTTGGAGCAGGGCAGGTGGGGTTGCAAGGCAGGCAAAGTGTTGGGTTTAGAACAGGAAATGTGGGTCTGAAGTACTGGAAAGGGTTTAGAGAAATGAGGCTGCAGACTGGTGAGCGGTTTAGAGCAAGGAGCGTGTTGAGAGTTTAAGTTAGAGTGTTGTGAGATAGAATGAAGGGAGTGCCCATTGTAAAGCTGCGAGTTCCCAAACATCTGGGGAACAGAGGATAACTTGCTAAACATGGACACCGCCACAGTATCTAACGTGTCATCTCCAATCACATCTACTGGACTATCAGAAGATAAGTCCTGTTCTAGTCTCAGGTACGAGTTATCATCCTCCACCAAATACGCCAGAGATTCCGGAGGAATGGAATGTTCTGAAAGTGGGATCATTGTCATATCGTTCTGTTCCAGGAACTGGGCTTGAGTGTGGGCCTGGAAAAAGTTGTCACTTTAGTGGTTAGTAAAAAATGATTAGTGAAAATTGATTGACTCATTAAAAACTACTAGTAGTTTACACTATAATATATGGTAAGATAGCCGCGATTTTATTGACCAGATTAAAAAGACTCCATTATTGCTGGAGGGGGATTATTTAAAACATATAAGTGATACGAAAAGTTTGTTTAGCAGGAGCTTTCAAAAAACATGTGTAAATCGTCTTCAGCTGGGGATGGTGTTGTGAAGGGTTGATTATATATGATGGAGTGCAAGGGTGGAGTGGTGAGGGTGGAAAAATGTTTTAAGTTTACATTACAATAACATTCAAAATAAAAACTAGGCTTGTGAGGTAAATGAAGAGGAAATGCCAGATGGCCTGGTCTTGAGGGATGAAGCAATCTTGGTAAGTATGAGGTCCCATAGTGAGCTACATTTGGGGGCACGGTCAGTTCTGTTCATGGAGGGTTGTCTTATCTGAATAGCGGCGTGTTCTGTCAGGTCAAGTTGAGATCGTTTTGTGTGGGATTTGAGGACTTATATTTTGTTCCAGGAGATGGAATGTCCAGTGGTCAGGGCATGATGGGCGGGGGCGGATTTGATCCTGTCTGTGGATTCGTCAATGGCGTTGTTGAGTCTGTAACATCGTTCGTGTTCTTTCATGCGGTGGATCAGGGGTCTGTAGGTCTGTCCGGTATACTTGGAGGGACATTGTGAGCAGGATATCTCGTAGATGGTGTTAGGAGTGAGTTGAGTGGGCGGTGTGGTATTCGTCTTGGTGAGGAGGTTGTGGAGAGTAGTGGCTGATGAGTGGGTCACTTTGATGTCGTGTTCTCCGAGTATCTTGGAGATAGGTTTGGAGAGTGAGGGATGGAAAGGAAGGGGAACGCTGAGTGCGTGATCTCTGGTCTGTCGGTTGAATGATGCTGAGGATTGAATTTGTGGTGAACTTCGTCCATGATGGTGGTGATGCGAAGGGGTGGAAAGCCGTTCTAAAGGCAAACGTGTCTGACAGTCTGTAGTTCATCTTCGAGGTGTTGAGGTGAACAGATGTTGTAGGCTCTTCTGGTGAGGGATCGGATGACAGCGTTCTTGGAGGAATTGGTGGTGCAGGAGGAATACTTACTGTAGAGGTTGGTGTGCGTGGGTTTTCTGTAGACTGAGGTGGACTTGTCAGGGTGGATGAGGACGTCGAGGAAAGGTATGGGTCGTTGGATGAAGGGTGTTCTTGAGTGAATTTGAGGTCTTCGGTGAGGGAGTTGAGGAAGGTGAGGAAGGATTCTGCGTGCTGTCTGTCTCTAAGGGAGCCGAGTCCATCGTCAACGAAGTGGGAGTAGGTATGAGGAGGATCAGGACATGAGGAGAGCGCTAAGGATTATATTTCTGCTAGGCTTATTTCTGCTAGTTTTACGATGAGGGGGGAGCCCATGGTGCCACCTTCATCTTGGGAATAAAGGAGGCGTTGAATTCGAGGTAGGAGTTGTCAAGGCAAAAGTTGATGAGGGATCCTATGGTGGTGGTGGTGAGGTTGGAGGGGAGGAGAGTGGGGTTCTGTTCGTAGGATGTGATGACTGTCTTAAGGGCCATGCGCATGTCACAGGAGGTGTAGAGGCTGTTAACGTCTAGGGAGGGGGATAGGAGTATGAGGGGTTGAGGGAGGAGTCGAATCGGTGCTTGAAGTCTGAGGAGTCTTTGAGGTGTATGGGGATTCTGAGCTAGGGGTTTTAGGACTATAGCGAGGACTTTGTGGAGCGCTTGAAGGGGATTGTTGTAAAAACTAACTACGAGACAGATGGATGCGCCAGGTTTACGGATCTTAGGTTGTCCGTAGAGTTGAGGCCATCTTGGGTGAAAGTTTCGCATCTTGTTGAGGTGGTCTGTCGTGATCTTTTTGTCGTTGTGAAGTTTCTTGAGGACTTTGTGCAGTTTGGAGGTGACGGATTGTGTGGGGTCTTTGTTCAATTAGGTAATCATTAACTTTATTTATGTATTGTTCGTGGGTTAACACCACAGTTGCGTTGCCCTTATCGGAGAAATTTTAATTCAGATTTCTAAGATTTTAATGATTTAAGAGCAGTACGTTGTTGGGGAGTCAAATTGTCACGGGTCATGTATATGTCGTTCAATAACTCCATTATTGGGTTAACATGATATTCATACACGTCGAAAATGAGTAAAATCACGATTATTTTTGCTTTGGCTGGCAGTGGTGAGTTGTTCTTATGATTGCTAAAAAGCTTGCAAATTTATAATACTATATTTTTAACGGCCATTTTTGATTTTGCTGTAGTTATTTGAGGGTCGTTATTTTGTTGAGATTTTGTATAAAATCACAAAACTTGGGTTTCTGGGGAAATCACAAAACTTGGGTTTCTGGGGAAAATAACCCGATTATTGGGATTCTCAGCCAGGATAAGGTTTCTAGGACCATATTGAGGGAAAACATTTTACTTTTGTCAGGAGGTAGACACTAGTTGGTGGTAAATTGGTGCCGAACCTTGAATAATCACAGCCCGGAAAATTGTTTTCTGGCCAAAATCGAAAAATTGTCGCACTTGCAAATTTATCTAACTTAATAAATGTATCCAAGCCAAAAGTAAGCTTTATTTTTTCCAAAACACAAAATCACAAGATGCCCTTGTTCGGTATATAGACGAAAATTTCGGGTAGTTTTGTTTTAAAATGATACTCCGTTGAAAAATCGGCGACCACTCATATTTATAAAGCAGTCTTTAAAGCTCCACGATTTGATGGTTTCTGATAATTACCTGGTCCATTTTGGTGTGGCCCACAGTCGCTACATCATTCCAAGGAGATGGGTCTTGATATCTTGAATACACTGGATCTATTATGTAGTCAGGTTCTTCGTTCGCTATCCCTGGGGGAGGTAGAGTTGCGATAGAAATTGCTGGTGAATTAGATTAAAAGGAATTAGTGTAAATCAAAGTCCTTAAAAAGTCAAAAGTACTTTGTCTTTGATGACTTTCTTTGGTTAAATCATCTTGCTTACTCCTAAGAAATTTACTTGAACAACAAGCAAAAATTACCCAGTCGAACTAATTCTGTAAGAGTAGGTTGGGATGAGAAGTGTCCCCAAATAGTGGGCGAGGTCAGTCCGGTCATCTCAGTTATACTATCGTTTATAACAGATACTGGGTTGTCCATTATTTTACAGTTTCTGTGAGAATTCAATTAGTATAACAGTTTAACGGCTAGTAGTGTGTAAACACTAGTAGAAGTAGTTTGAGGAAAAGAAATATCCGCGGCAAATTGTACTTGATGATAAAAATTACCATCTATTATCAAGTACAATTATTATCTATGATTATTGATTATAGTATATAAGTATAAGGACACGTTCATTTGAGTTTGAGGATATTGGTAAACAAAAATAATAGCGTTTTTGACGATAGTGGCTTAATTTTGACATCTATTAACCTAGCACGTTCAGAAGTTCTGAACATAAGCCACGTAACCCATACTCCCATATGCACCGCTCAGAAAGAAAATCTATTTTTGTTAGGCACTATAATGTTTCAAATGTCACATTTTGTGTGACTTAGTTAACTGCAGTTGTCTAATTATCATTCCTTGGTCTGAAATATAGTAAATTAGGTCAATCTAACAATTATGATACAACATTGGTTAATGGGCACGGATCGAACGGTTACAAGGCAATATTTGGGTAACTTTGTCACACTCATGATACCATACCTCTATTCTACTGTGAGGTGTCCTAAAAACCCTTTCAACTCATTATTTTATGGTTGCTCTACCAAGCATAGCCCTAAAATATGTTATTTTGAATAGTTAGCTAATACAGGCACTTGGTTATTGGGAAATGATGTTAATTCTGTCACAATATATGAATTTTAAAATTTTGGGCGAATAATTTATATCTGATTTTGGTTTGAAAGGCGGGAAAATTTTATATGATGACAATGTAGTTGATGCAAGTTAAGATCAGTTGATGTTTACATTGTCACAAAAAATTATACGAAATCGTAAATAGATTAAAAACAATGATTATAGAATGAAATAGTCTCTTATAATAACTCTTATAATAACTGATGTGACAAAGTAAACATGTCTTGCCCCTATTTTGAAGATCTATAACTCTATTAGAATTCAACATTCTTTCAGAAACGATTGGAAGAATATTGTCCAGAACATAAGAACTCAATTTTTAAAATTTAGATTAATTTGTCAAAGACATTGAAAATGTGACAAAATTAACTTTCCCTGCCCCGCAAGTATCAAGATAGTGTGTTAAAATTGGCATAGGAATTATTACAGGTATATTAAAGTATTAATCGATCCAAACTACGAAAAATATCTTTTAATCTGATGACGATTACCTAACTCCTATAATAACTGATGTGACAAAGTAAACATGTCTTGCCCCTATTTTGAAGAACTATACCTCTATTAGAATACTATGTAACTTTATCATCAAAAAAATTTCGATAAACTAGTTATTTTGCCAGCAAGGAGCTAACAGAGTTTTAATATTTTTTGTGACGAAATTACCCTATTTTTGACCATGTAGCGGTAGTTTAATTGTGACACTGTTAACATATTACCACCTGATAATGATTTATGTGACTAGTGCATGGTACTAGCAGTGTTGTTTGATCCATAGTACGTATAATATAAGGGGTTTAAGCTGGTATATCATTATTTGTTCAATTTCACACATGTTCAGATATTATCAAGATTATGTGACAAAGTAAGCTTGGTTGTGCCTTCTGTGTTTTAATTCCTTACGACTATATGATATAATAACAATTCCCAGCACTTCCAGGCCATCAAATAAACTTACACTACTCAACATTGCTTATCAGGGTGCCCTAAACATTCATCACATATTCCCTTTAATGTGTGACAGAGTAAACCTGAATGCACCATCTAACGAAAAAAGTCGTCAAATATGTAGGTAATGGTCATATGTACCCATCCAATCAACTGGACACTCAAAAATTTGGTCAAAAACGGCAGCAAGGGGTCCATATTTACTCCGTCACATGTTTATAGTGTGACAATGTAACCATTTCCGTGCCGGCCGTATTTAAGCGATATCTTATCACCTGATTAAGATATCGTTATGTGACAAAGTTAGCCTAGAGGATGAGACGATTATCCTAACCATCAAGGGTTTAAGTAATTTCATAGTGTGACGAAGTCAACTACACTGTGCCTTTTAATAGGGTCACTTATATTTACCAATATCCTCAAACTCAAATGAACGTGTCCATAACCATTTTTTGGCACCTCGCCGGCATGTGAAGTAAGCTTAGCACATTTTCCTAAACAATGTGATCACTGATAAGGTTGATTAGGATGATCTGAGATCCTTCTTTTCTTATCTTGCAAATTTAATTCCTTGTCAAAACTAAAGTGCATCCTAAATTTATACGTAATATGGTAGGCGGATGCAATGTTACACAACATATGACATAATCGTTTCCTTGTAGCTCTAAATTACAGCTACTAGGAAAACATTGTGTGATATTATGTTGTGTGGTGAAGTATTGACACCGATAAAAACAACGTTTATCATTTTCCATTGCAATGAAAAAAATGAAAAATGTCAGAAACGGTACAATTTGCTAACAAAAAAATAGGAACTATCTTTTGTTGGTAGGTATTACCTGGTCAGAAGTGCGTTCTATTCATAACCGGGCCATGATAGCTGTGGTCCAATGAGCTGGTAGAGATCTAGTCACATGATCTCATGTCTGTATCACGTGGTCACGTGGCCTGATCACGTGGCACAGGGAGGATGTACGATAACCAGCTACTCAGGAATAACCACAAGTTGAGTCAAATGTTTCATCCTACCGGGGGCGAGCGAGGGCAGGATTATTATTTATACCAACTATTCTCTGTACTAAAGCGCAGGTTTGGGTTCGCAGCTCCTTGCTACGGAATATTTCATTGGAGCGACCTGTGCTATTCATCGTGACAGAGATCTCGTGCTAAATTGGTACAATCAGTGCCGGGAGCTACATGTGGAGCCTCAATGATACATAGGGCAGCTGAGCTGCACCCTATTCCCTAACTGCACCCTATTCCCTAACTGCACCCTATTCCCTAACTGCACCCTATTCCCTAACTGCACCCTTTTCCCTAACTGCACCCTATTCCCTAACTGCACCCTATTCCCTAACTGCACCCTATTCCCTAACTGCACCCTATTCCCTAACTGCACCCTTTTCCCTAACTGCACCCTATTCTCTAACTGCACCCTATTCCCTAACTGCACCATATTCCCTAACTGCACCCTATTCGCTAACTGCACCCTATTCCCTAACTGCACCCTTTTCCCTAACTGCACCCTATTCCCTAACTGCACTCTATTCGCTTACTGCACCATATTCCCTAACTGCACCCTATTCGCTAACTGCACCCTATTCCCTAACTGCACCCTTTTCCCTAACTGCACCATATTCCCTAACTGCACCCTATTCCCTAACTGCACCCTATTCCCTAACTGCACCCTATTCCCTAACTGCACCCTATTCCCTAACTGCACCCTATTCCCTAACTGCACCCTATTCCCTAACTGCACCCTATTCCCTAACTGCACCCTATTCCCTAACTGCACCCTATTCCCTAACTGCACCCTATTCCCTAACTGCACCCTATTCCCTAACTGCACCCTATTCCCTAACTGCACCCTATTCCCTAACTGCACCCTATTCCCTAACTGCACCCTTTTCCCTAACTGCACCCTTTTCCCTAACTGCACCCTATTCCCTAACTGCACCCTATTCCCTAACTGCACCCTATTCCCTAAGCGTTATCTTTAAATTTAACCTGATGGTTGGATAATTGTTGTTTACAGTTACGTGTTGTTGTGGTTCATATACAATATACATTATACATGTGCTGGTCTTCTATCAGAGAAGTTTCCGGTTTTCGTATACGCCTAATCTTTAATCGTTCTGTTTTATCAATACATATTACGTAATCAGCCGAGGGGTGGTTTCCAAATGCTCACGGTTGATTACGGAGGGGGGGGGGCGGGGGGTTGGTCGTTTATTACGTAGAGGCCTAATTAGATTAACTAGCTGTTAATTTGATTAACTAGCTGTTAATTAGATTAACTAGCTGTTAGTTAGATTAACTAGCTGTTAATTTGATTAACTAGCTGTTAATTAGATTAACTAGCTGTTAATTAGATTAACTAGCTGTTAATTAGATTAACTGGCTGTTAATTAGATTAACTAGCTGTTGATTAGATTAACTAGCTGTTGATTAGATTAACTAGCTGTTGATTAGATTAACTAGCTGTTAATTAGATTAACTAGCTGTTGATTAGATTAACAAGCTGTTGATTAGATTAACAAGCTGTTGATTAGATTAACTAGCTGTTGATTAGATTAACTAGCTGTTAATTAGATTAACTAGCTGTTAATTAGATTAACAAGCTGTTGATTAGATTAACAAGCTGTTGATTAGATTAACTAGCTGTTGATTAGATTAACTAGCTGTTGATTAGATTAACAAGCTGTTGATTAGATTAACTAGCTGTTAATTAGATTAACTAGCTGTTAATTAGATTAACTAGCTGTTAATTAGATTAACTAGCTGTTAATTAGATTAACTAGCTGTTAATTAGATTAACTAGCTGTTAATTAGATTAACTAGCTGTTAATTAGATTAACTAGCTGTTAATTAGATTAACTAGCTGTTAATTAGATTAACTAGCTGTTAATTAGATTAACTAGCTGTTAATTAGATTAACTAGCTGTTAATTAGATTAACTAGCTGTTAATTAGATTAACTAGCTGTTAATTAGATTAACTAGCTGTTAATTAGATTAACTAGCGGTTAATTAGATTAACTAGCTGTTAATTAGATTAACTGGCCTTATCCTAATTTAAATATATATAAAGCTATAACTACCAGAGAATATCTATTTTAAGCTTACCTTTCATATAAAGTAAGTCTCATTCAAAAATATTAATATTTGACCAATTTATGGGACGAAATCTACCAAATTTGGTGCGTATGCCCAAATATGGGCATATGGTTTTTGGCTCATAACTCAGTCATTTTTGGTTCAATCTTGATGAAATTTCACATACGAGTTCAGGAGACCACTAGCTACAAGTAGAGCACCTTAAACCTGGATGTTAGGCATGTTCAGGGTATTTGGCTAAATTGGGCCTAATTTTGACCAAATATGAGCGTGGCTGCCCAGCGGGCACCGTTTGGCGGTTGGGGTCCGGGACCCCCTCAAAAGTTCGGTCACTGGTCTTAGTTTGTTGGTCAACTGCTATCTCGAAATCAAGTTTCACAAAAAAATACCCATTGCCCCCCCCCCCCCCCCCCCCCCCCCCCCCCCCCCCTTAACTAAGGCATCATGTAGCCGGTGGGCCCGACATGATACGACATATCTCGACACGTCGGGGTCTGTCGGGGTTTGTCGAGCCTGGAGGCTACATGATGCCTTTACTAGCTGTTAATTAGATTAACTAGTTGGCTAATTAACAACTAGTTAATTAGATTAACAAGCTTTTAATTAGATTATCGCGGAATTGGTTATATTAATTAGTATCGGTGTATTGCATAAATTTTAGAATTTCGGGATGTTACTTATACTATTCATCTTGATGTCTTTATTTTTGCAGATGGAGAAAAGTAAGAGAATTTCACTGTACGCACAGCAGCTACGTTCAGAGCATAGGACCAAAGAATTTCCTAAGAGGAAATCTGTCAACCCCAGATACCAGCCACCATCAAAGTCGGAAATAGTAAGTATTTCTAATAATCTATAAATAGTAAGTAATAAGTATTTCTAAGGATCTAGAAATAGTAATTATTTCTAAAGATCTAGAAATATTAAGTATTTCTAAAGTTCTATAAATAGTCAGTATCTCTAAAGTAATATAAATAGTCAGTATTTCTAAAGTAATGTAAATAGTCAGTATTTCTTAAGTAATATAAATAGTCAGTATTTCTAAAGAAATGTAAATAGTCAGTAATTCTAAAGAAATATAAATAGTCAGCAAGCATCGACCGGGACCGCTTTTTTGGCCGATCCCGGGACTGGGATTGGAAAAAAGTGCCGGGACCGGGAATAAGACCGGGACCGGGACCGGGAATAAGACCGGGGCCGGGATTGGGACCGGGATCGTAGCTAACAAAAATTTTACTTGCAATATTCTTTGATCTTATAATGTATAATTAATATCAGTTATTTAGAATATATATTCGCATGTATCCACACTATATTTACATTACACGTTCAACGTGATATCATTATCAGTGCAGTGTGTACAACACCAACTACACCGCGTTTCAACACCATTACCATGGTTACTTTGCAACTACCTATTTTTCATCTATTTTCACGTGGGTGGTTGTACAAACAAAGAGAATCTTTCGAATTATAATATAGATGTGAAGTGTCTCCCTCAATTTGATATTAAATGTGAGATTTCTCCCGCAAATCAAATTAAAAACAAATCAAATAATAATGCATATCTTCCTAAAACTTCATTCGAAATATTTCTTTTTCTTTTTTTTTTAATATGCCAAAACCAAAACAATGGTGCCACTCGGAATGTTCAACTTTTAACTTTTTTACAAACACTTCATTCGAAACGTTCCAAAAATAACAATTATTTGCACTACTTTTAGAAATCCTATCTTTCTTAAATCCTTCAAATTTGACTTTAAAACTTAGAACTGTCTTTAGACAGTGTCTTAGAACTCTTGACGTCCGGAGGAAGTTTGTTCTCAGTTATGTGTACTATGTACTAGACTATCTAGTATACCGTATGGTCTAACTCGCTACTTTTACAGTATCCGCTGTTTAATATCAGATTAAGACCGGATCTGATCATTCCGAACATTCCCGATACATAATCGGCCAAACCGCTTATAACCAATTGAACGCTTCAATAAGATGACCACGTATACGCCTCTCTGCCAACGTTGTCAAACTGAGGATTGCCAGTAGACGGTTGTATCAATCAGGCAGGCACTTTGAAGCTAACAATATGGCCGTTTGACTTTGTGATGGTTATCCCATAGCAACCGTACATAGCAACCGTTTCGAAGAGCTTGATATTTGGAACGCGCATTAGAATTAATAAGAGGCTATTAAGCGCAACAAGCATGTTTCATGCGCGCGTACCGTCACGATATTTATTGTAGTTACGCGTCAAATCCGAGCGTACTAAATCACTCTACAGTCGATCTTCGAAATTGTTCTAAAAGGGCCCCCGACAGTTGAAACCAACTTCAATCGATGTATTTTCGGACGCTGATTCCGAATCACCCCCCATGACATAGGGTTAAAATGCTCCCCTGACGAGATATAGGCGAAAAACTGTCTCGATCACGTGATATGACCGTATAAGGAAGTTAGTCAAATTTCTCGTTAGGGTTAGGGTTTCAGCATATGCTTTTGTTAAGGATTGGGTTAGGGTTAGGGTTGGGATCAGATAAGAGGGTTAGGGTTTCGAATAGTCGTTCAGGACCAGAGAGAGAACGGGTTAAAAAAGTCACGTGACAGTCGAGTGTAGAGTGATTAATTATCATCCCGTCAAATCCGGTCCTTATTTTACTTTATTTTTACTTTACTTTACTTGTATCACCTCGGTCATTGATAGATCTTGCAAGAGGCTAGCTAGTAAGCTTTCGAACTTCTTTGTGCTGAGAGCTTTTTTTCCCTTGAAAGTTCAGGGGCTCCTAATTCTTATTTGGTTATTTTGAGAATCGATTGCAAATTTTGGATACGAATTTATTGCCGATATGTTCTTTCCAGGCACACCAGTATGCGAGCAAGATTCCCAGACCGATACCAGCTAAAAGGAAGCCGAATCTTTCGCCTCTTCCAGATATGATCGAAAAAGAACCGAGTATTTTGAGGGAAGACATTCTGCAAGAGAGAGTGAGACGACACATTCAACATAAACGGATCCTAGAAGATTTAGATAACGTTTGAGCTTCTGAAGGAACTTGTTTATTTCAGGTTCACACATCACCTATGCGATGTTGCTTAGCAAGCATTTTTGATCTGCCAGAAGTACAAACAACTTCTTAAAAATAAGGGTTGGTTATGGATCGACAGTACTAGTAGTTCCTGTCAGATTTTATTGATTTGTCAGAGGTTTAACAATAACAGGACAAGATGTGATTGCTGATTGGCCCAATGGCCCTGCTCGACGATTGTTATTACATTTACATGTTATTTTGCCAAAAATGTATTCGAAACGTTGAATTTTAATCCGATTACCGAGATAAACATTATATTTTTGGTTATTGTGTAAAATATTGTACAATCAATCTTGTAAATACCTTTAGAAAATTTTTAATTTTTACTATAGTCGAATAAATTGTTTCAATCGGTTGTCGTCCTGGTAGCTGCTGCTACAAAGAATCAATTTATTTGCTTAATAGTGATCCACAATACACAATAATTGTGGTCAAGTGCATTTATTATTCATAAAACAATCTAGTGAAAATTTTGCTGCCCCTTTCCGCTACTAAATCGCTCGCCCAAATTTTAAGAAAATTCTTGAGAAAAGGCCCTTTGGGTATGAAATTGATCGGTGTATTTTTTGACGCTGATTCCGAATCATCCCCCATGACGTAGGGTAAAAATGCTTCCCTGGAGAGTTACGGCTGCAAAACCGTAAAAATAATAATTGTATGTCACGTGAAATTTTTTGGGCGAGCGAATTAGTAAGAGCCGCGCCCCTTTGGCTTTCAGAAGATACCCCCTGCATAAATTTTAAATACGCCGAAAATACGCCGTTTGTCAAAATTTTAACTTTAAGAAATACGTGGAAAAAACTTGTATCACGTGGTGACCCCCACTGTCGCTTCACTATACACTATAGTCTTCGACGATACAGAGGGAGCCGCGCACTTCGTGCGCGGCGGGTCATACAACGTATGACAAGAAAAAACGGCCCATTTTGCAGTTTCAGAAAAAGAGTTTTTTGATGTTATTGTTAAATTTTGTCCGAATATGGAATACGCACGTATTTCTTGCGATAAACGTTTCCGCAAAGTACGCAAGTACTTACAATTTTAAAAATCAGCTGCCATACGCCGCACATCTTTCCACTTTCATCATAATTTGCCTCAGCCTAACCAGTATGCAGTAATCAGTAATCGGCATCATAATCTGCTTGAATACAAATTGCTACCACTACCAGTACCACAATTTGGCCCGATGGCTTAAATATATATATGAAAAGTGACTAGGAATCTGATTAAGGCGGGAAAAGTGGCTATAAATTTTACGACTGGGTAACTATTTCAGTATGTTTCACATTCAAGCTAAATTCCATATCATACTGTATCGTGCTTTGCTGATTATATTACTAAGGTATTTTACCAAAACCCATAATCATGGGTAGAGTGTACCGCTGCCTGCTAGTGTCTCTCTTTCCCAAACAAAAGGAAATGATATTAATTTGATTGACCGTTCTCAAATGCAAAATGATACCGAGAATGAAATTGGTCGCTCGCTTTTCCCATTCATTCACGGCTTACGAATTGTAATAAGTTTCGATTGATTACATCAATCAGATGCTGTAAAAATCTCTTTGGGTTGCGTTCGGGTCGATACCTAGTATTTCGGGGTAAGGGTGGTAGATATTACTTATTGAATTAGCTGAAGTTTATTGAATCTTTATTGCCGAGTACAGCTGCCTTTGGGTAGTTCTTCTTAATCTATTACAATTGTAAATGAATGGGAAAAGCGAGCGACCGATTTCATTCTCGGTATCATTTTGCATTTGAGAACTGAGAACGGTCAATCAAATTAATATCAATATCATTTCCTTTTGTTTGGGAAAGAGAGACACTAGCAGCGGTCCACTCTACCCATGATTATGGGTTTTGGTAAAATATCATCTCTTTTTGATTATAATGTCAGGGTACTTTATAAAGTCGAAATATAAACTGATATCTTCATTAATAAGGAGGAAGTTTCAACGATTTCGAAATTTTTCCTTTAAAAACATTTCCTTGTGTTTAAGGAAGCATATCGGTCGATCACTGACTGAATATGCCACCTAATACTCATTCAAGTTGGCATTAAATTCATATATAATGACATTAAACTGTCGTGACAAAGCAGAATTTGTTGGAAATCACGAATGAGCAAAATTCTCACCTTTCGAACGTGCAAACTTTGAGCGGACGTTGCGTGCGCATCCAATATTGAATCGCCGTAAATTTTTGCATGTAATTGTTTTATATATAGTTTGATAAGCATGCAAAGTTTCAAAGTATTTCAAGAAGAACTGTAATCACAACGGCACTCTAAAGTTGACAGAAAATGACGAAAACAGCAATTTTCAGTGATTTTAGCAATTTTCTATCAATTTGGGCGTGTCCCCACGTGTGCAACTTTTCGATTTTCAACTTTAAAACTAGCCTAATGCACAATTTATACCTATAGGAAGCAGAACTGAGCTCCACAACCCAAGGCATGGCCCAACACCAGAGAATACTAAATCGCAAAATTGACGTTTTTATAAAATAATTCTTCAAAAAAGCACAAACTTCAATGACGAATATCTTTATGAAGGAGCAAGCTAGAAAAACTTTCCGGTAGATTTTCAGAATGCTTGAACAATTATCTAAGGTAAAAATTTCCTCAGATTTTGAATTAAATTACTCCTTAATGGTGTAAAATTAATTTTAAAAGTTATTACTTTGTCAAAAATCAAGTTTTAAAAACGGTTAACTTGATGACGTCATCAATGGGTGTTTATGACGTCAAATAATTTTTTATACAATGTAAACTAAAGTGTAAACAATTATTTGCAAGACCTGTGGTCGGAAATGGCTGTATCTTTTATACTTTTGAATCTATGGACACTTAAATACAGGTTACAATTGACTGGCAAAGCGTCTATCCCTGAATATGTATGTATATATCACGACAATCTGTCGTAAAACAGGGGTTCTAGAAAACCCATTTCCCGATGCTCCTGAAACCTGAAACTTTTTTTGCAGTCGATTTGGTCAACGTCTAGACGCCCTGAAAAATTTCAGATCTCTAACTCAATTTTAACATGGTTTTTAAGGCACCTGAATATGGTGATTTTGGGTTTTTTACCGAATTTCGTATAACAGTGCTGGCAAGTATTTTATGCAAATTTCTTAAAAATCTCAACATAACTATTTTTTATTCCTGTCATCTTTGACATCAAATTAGAATGTTTTGAACTAAAAATAAATCTGCTGAACGACTTCTGATGAGTGTTAATGCCTGGAAAACTCCTGCCGGAGGCGGCGGCCTTCGGCCGGAGTGCACGCTTCGCGTGCACGAAAGAGGCTTGTAACGTGTACCAAATGGGGTATAATAGTAAAGGGGGTATAATAGTAAAGGGGGTATAATATTAAATGGGGTACATAGTATACCCACAATAAATGCAACGGTCGTGCTTGCCAGCACTGTGATTATTAGTTATTCATTATTGCCAAAAAGTGATAATAAAACTATCGTCGGCGGGCCCAGAATACGGGTGCCTCAGGTTAAAAGCGAAGCCCTGATCGACTAAGCCGTGAGTTGTATCACGTCGTGACCCCCATGGTCGTTTCACTATGGAGTTTCTACGATACAGGGGGAGCCGCGCACTCGTGCGCGGCGGATTATACAACGTATGACATGAGGTCATGTAATTAAGAAATGTAATATTTATATTTATAAACGCGCGTTTTTAGTGCGTTCCTGCTAAATGCATTCCTGCTAAATGCTTTACTAAGTTATTATATTTCCCCCTTTACTAAGTGGCAAGAGATTTTTATAATCTCAGGAAATAGTGATCGTGTAACTTATAACCTCTCCTATTTCAATGACCAAAGTACACCCTTTACGAGGTGCCACTATTAAGTACAGTAATCTGTTCTGGGTGATTCCAGTTTAAACAGATGAGGTGCAACAAAAAACTATGGATCTAGACCAGTAAAGGTCGACAAAAAACTACCAGGTTCGAGGGGCCAGCTACCCTTCAACCTTAAAATAGCTACTGAAACATCAATGAATAACCAAAAGTGGAGTGACTCTCGGAGTTCAAGGAGGGGTGTAGCCAGGATGAAGTGCTCTGGGCAAAGCCGCAAGGACCCCAGTGTGCAGATGAGAACAAAGAAGTCGCCTTATTTCAACAGTGTTATTAGTTCACAGCATATCACTCATGTGGACCCGGAGAAGGGGAGAGCACTCCCGTGCAACTTTATCAAACACAGCATTAATGTGGGAACGTGGAATGTGTTATCATTGGAGAGCAGTTCCTCAAAGCTGTATGAATTGTCACAGAATATGTCAGCATATAAAATGGATGTCTTGGGGCTGACAGAGACGCACAGACCCGGCACTGGTGAGGTTACCTTGGATGATGGGTCCCTCTTTATTAACTCAGGAAGAAGTGATGGGTACAGACGACAAGGGGTAGGTTTAGTCCTCTCGAAGAAGACTAAAAATTCATTGATTTCATACAGTCCGATATCAGAACGTATTCTTGCAGCGAGGCTGCACAGTCGACATATCAACATTTCGATTGTGATAGCTTATGCTCCAACTGAGGATGCAGCAGTCGGGGTAAAGGATGACTTTTATCAGCAGCTATCTGGGGCATTTGATGAACTACCAGCTCATGACGTGAAGTTTTTACTTGGAGATCTAAATGCTCGCATTGGCCAAGATAACTCAGCTTGGTCCGGTGTGATTGGTAAGCATTCCCTTCACGTTTCATCAAATGACAACGGCCTTCGACTATTAGATTTCTGTGCATTACATCAGTTGACAATCGGTGGGACGCTTTTCCAGCATCGTGATATTCATAAAGGAAGTTGGAAGTCTCCAGATGGCCGCACAGTAAATCAGATTGACCATGTCTGTATTTCTACCAAGTGGAGTCACTCTCTACTTGACGTAAGATCATGCAGGGGTGCAGACATTGGCTCCGATCATTATTTGGTTCGGGGTCAATTTAGAGTCAAACTTATGGCAGTTCAAAAAATGAACGCCTCTCGTAGGATATCTCCAGCAATTGAGAATCTTAGAGATCAGTCCAAGGTTGAAGAGTACTGCATTGCTCTTCAAAATCGTTTTAGCTGCCTACCAATGGAGGAGAATCTTGATGGAGAATGGACATTAGTTAAGGATACTATTAAAGAAGTGTCTATGGAGGTACTGGGTGAGCGCCCCCGGCGCAGAAAGCAGCAGCATTTGTCTCAGGAGACAAAAACCCTTATTGCAGAACGCAGTAAGATTAAACAAATGGCGCCTAATGACAACAACAATAGGAGCGAGTATTCTCGGGCCAACAAACTTGTCAAAAAGAGCTGCAGGAAAGACGACGAGAATTGGGCTCTTAGAGTTGCAGCAGATCTGGAAACAGCCGCTGTCCATGGCCGTCAAAGGGAAGTCTGGCAACGGATAAAAACACTGTCCGGTAAGAAGAATCGAAAATCAACTGCTGTAAGAGACAAATCCGGGAAGTTGATTGCTGATCCCTCTGCTCAGAGAGAGAGATGGGGAGAACATTTTTCTGAGCTATTAAACCCTCCTCCCACGAATGCGGATATGTCTGACCTGGACCATCTTGAAGTGGTTCCATGCTTTCCTTATCTTGGTGATGGTGATGGTCCCCCCACAAGACTTGAGATTTTAAACTGTCTCAAAAAATTGAAGAATCACAAAAGTGCTGGGATTGACGAAATCTCTAATGAGCAGTTAAAGTATGGGGCAAGTGGTCTTGTGGATAGGATGGAGAAATTGTTCTCTAAAGTTTGGAATTCAGAAGCAGTGCCTGACGACTGGTTGAAAGGCATCGTGATAATTGTACCAAAGAAGGGTGATACCTCTCATTGCTCCAATAATAGGGGGATCACTCTAAGATCTACAGCATCTAAACTGTATCAAATCATCATATTACAACGCATGAGTGACGGTTTAGAAAGTCTGCTACGAGACAATCAGTGTGGGTTTAGAAAGAACAGATCATGCATTGATCAGATTTATTCACTCCGCACTATTATACATAACTGCATTGAATATAATCTCCCCCTGTATGTAAATTTTGTGGACTTCAAGGCAGCTTTTGATTCCATCGACAGGAATTATATTTGGAAAGCTTTCAGTCATTATGGCCTGCCATGTAAATACATTCGAATAATACAGGCATTCTTTAATGGAACTGTTAGTGCTGTTAGACACAATGGTGAACTATCAGAATGGTTTGAAGTAAGTTCAGGCAGTGGCCAAGGAGACATTCAGGGTCCCCCACTTTTTAATGTCTGCCTCAATGTGGCTGCTGAGAGAACAGAAAGCAACAAAGTGGTGTCCCACGGAGCGGTTCTTCAAAGATCTATCAGTCCGCTCGTTGATGATATCACTGTGTTAGATACAGATTATGCAGATGACATGGCTGTACTGGATAACAGCGAGGAAGGTCTTCAAGAAACAACTGACCTTTTGTGTATGTATGGTGCCCAGGGAGGTCTTAGAATCAATGGTAAAAAGACTGAGGCTATGGTCATTGGTAAAGCAACCTCTCAACGGCCATACACGAAAGAAGCCACAGTGAACATCACTGTTGAAGACACGCCAGTACAGCAAGTTAGTGACTTTACGTACTTAGGTACAATTATTTCCAGCGACGGTACTATCGACCGTGAGCTGTCAGCTAGGATTCAGAAAGCTTCCGGAGCCTTCAATCAACTGAGTAATATATGGAAAAACCGCAACATCCAGTCTTATACAAAGATCAGGATTTATAAGGCAGCGGTTTTGACAATATTGTTATATGGTAGTGAGGTTTGGAACACAACCAAAAAGCAGCTACATCGCTTTGAGGTGTTCCATCAGCGTTGCTTGAGGAGAATACTTAGGATAAGATGGCTCGATCGGGTTAGAAACACTGAAGTGCTGGAGCGTGCAAAGATAAATCCAGTAGAGACGTACATAGGAGCAAACCGCCTGCGTTGGTTTGGCCATGTCACCAGAATGCCAGACACTAGGCTTCCTAAGTACCTGCTTAACTGGACCCCTGCCCATGGGAGAAGATCTAGGGGCCGTCCAAGAAAGAACTTGAGGAAATGTTTGCTGGAAGATGCTGCATCGTTTACAGGAAACACTGACATAGACCTAGAAGGAGCGAGCGAGATGGCTAGTGACCGAAAACTTTGGAGGGAGATGATACGTCACAAACGGGAGTTCATTGGTGCAGGCCACTCGAATGATTGAGGAGACCTAATCAAGTACAAGTAAGTTACTAAGTTATATATTTCCCCCTTTACTGTTTACTAAGTTATATATTTCCCCCTTTACTAAGTTATATATTTCCCCCTTTACTAAGTTATATATTTCCCCCTTTACTAAGTTATATATTTCCCCCTTTACTAAGTTATATATTTCCCCCTTTAATAAGTTATATATTTCCCCCTTAACTAAGTTATATATTTCGTCTGCGGATATTGAAATTAAATTCCTCTCAATATGCGTAACTAATCTCGGACTACGAGATTATTTCATCACGTGACACCGCGTGACCAGCGGGAGGGGGGTGGCCCATTAAGACCACGTGAGTAACAAACTTAGTTAGTCCATCATGAAACTTATGGACTTTTCATTAATATCAATCAACCTGCATCACAATATAAGTTAGCCATTTAAGTGTTTGACATCACTTGTTATTATACAGGGTGGGCCAAAAGTCAGTGTGCAAACGTTGGGTCTTATACCTCCGCCGTGTTTTATATTTGAGAGCTGTTGCTTTGCAGATGGCATACTGTACTTACTGGTTCAAGGATTCCGTCGTCAAAATTTGAAAATTCGAATAATTTAGACCACGCCCATTCAATATTAAAACACCTATATATTGTTTTCTCTGAACATGCTGAACGCCTAATTTTTTTAGAGACGGTAGATTATCAAATGTTGCATATGATCTGAAAACATGAGGCAAAACGAATTAGAAATGACGAAGTTATCAAGCATTTTGTGTATCTCGTTAACAAAATTGACTGGGTGATTATGTGACACCGTGACACGACACCTTAATTGGGCACCCTTAACAATTCCCATAATGTTTAACGGGGTAGTTAACGGGGTCACCTTATCACGTGATTAGGTAAACCAATCACCTGATCACACGTAATGATTAAACTCGTTATGCTTCAAATCTCGGTCATCTGAGAAGCTACAGTTCTAATTCTTTCAGGACAAACGTAATTCGAATGGCCAAACACAATTCAATAACATTTAGCTTGATCCGACTATCCAAACTATCAAATAAATGTGAAAATGAACATCCATTTGAAAAAAATGAACGCGAATATTTTTCGAGTTGACAAATTCCTCGAACCAGTGGTGGTACTAAGTCATACCAGAAGGAAGTATTTCAATTGGGCATTCAGTGACTGAGCTATTAAGGCCAACGTTTGCACACTGACTTTTGGCCCACCCTGTATGTTGAGGGGCTCTTACTAATTCGCTCGCCCAAATTTTCACGTGACTTCATGGTTTTTATGGTTTTGCAGCCGAACAAAACGGTTTTACATACACCCTAATCCCAACCCTAACCCTAACCATAACCTCAAAGCTATTCATAACCCTAACCACAACCCTAACCCTAACCCGAGTCCGAAACAATCGAATTTGTGTTTAACTAGCCTGTCACGTGACCAAAACAGTTTTTGCCCATATAACTCTTCAGGTAAGCATTTTTAGTTTTACCCTACGTCATGGGGGGTGATTCGGAATCAGCGTTCAAAAATACACCGATCCAGATCAATTTCATACCCTTAAGGCCTTTTCACAAGAATTTTCTTAAAATTTGGGCGAGCGATTTAGTAGGAGCGATGTTGAGGAGTCACCATCTGTTTATGGAGCGTATGGTGTCGATATCGACTATCGAATGCCTCCAGTCTATGGTATGGAGCGGTTCCATTTCGAACAATGTTTTACCTGGGGACCTCAGTAAACAATGTTCAGAAGCAAAAACAATCGCCATTTATTGCTGTGGTCAAAATAAGGCGTTATCCTTACTTCTATCATTCACAATCAGCCAATGGCAACATTCCATCCATACAACAACATTAATAATTCATCATGATGATGTCAATCTTTAAGTCTCGAATTAGAAACTACTGCTGGATGCTCTGCTTATTCGTTTAAACTAAACTTCCTTTAATCAGGTTGATCAACTTCAAGTAAACATCCATTTTATGTAAACTTATACCAGCTCTAAGTCTAAAGAGAAAGCATGTGCTTGATAGGTGCTGGTGCATGCAAGATGGGGCTCCTGAGGAGCCGCTCCTCCCCACTGTAGCAAAGAGAATCGTGGTTGGAGAAAAAGTTCAAGGAGAGGATCATCTCCCAAAATGCAGACTTTGCCTGGCCCCCATTCTCCCCCGACCTCAACCCCTGTGACTTCTACTTCTGGGGATATCTCAGAAGTAAAGTCTATAGTAATCCAGTCCCTAAGACAACCGCAGAACTTAAAGCAGAATACCTAAAGAGAGGCAAGGAGAATACAGTTGAGCACGGTGCAGTCTGCTGTAGACAACTGCCTCACCCGATATCAAAATGTGCTCTCCAATAAAGGACGATGGTTCGAGCAGGTAATAAATTATTGAGTCACATATTATTGTTTTATGATTTTTGGTATATTTGTTACACTTACAACCACAATTTGAAAAGTTATTTAATTTATACTAAATTTGACAATAAGGGGTCGTTCACATATTACGTAATCAGCTGAGGGGGGGGGGGGTTTCCGAATGATTACGCTAGTGTAATTTTGACACAATAGGTATGTGTAAAACTGACTACGGAGGGGGGGTGGGGGTGGGGTAAAAATGTTTCAAAAAATTATTACTTAATCATTAATATGTGAACGACCCCTAAATCAAAAACAGGACATTATTTAAATGAATTTAATCCCAACTTGAATGAGGATAAAGTGGCATATTCAGTGCAGCGGTCCACTCTACCCAATTATGGGTTTTGGTCAAATATATTTACAAAACACTCGAATTCGTGTACAAGTATTTATCACACGGCAGGATATAGCGAGAGGGTATATCTAATGCAGGGATATAGCCAGAGGGTATATCTGTCTATCTCGAATCCCAACCCTTCTCAGCTATTCTCACTAAAACACCCGGACGAATCTATAATGAAATTGACTCAACTTGGAATCAAGTAGCGACGGTTTTTTAAAGCAACAATGAAAAATATTTGATATAAAATCTGGAATTCTGATTTCGATTTACAAAAACTTTCAAGATCTCTTGATTTTGCTACATATCATTCTAGCATATTAGACATATCCTCAAATTAGCCGAAATTATTATTCTCCGAAACATATTAAACAGTATTCTTGTTGTTTTTTAATTCAAGTTTGGTTTTCAAATTTCCAGAAAAAAACCCATCCTCATCGTCTAATTAGTCTAATAGGTAGTTAATGTATCGGCTTAGGTTTGAATTGAACTCTTCTATGACTGGATTGCACGATGTTAAAATCCAATAGTCATCAGTCACAACATGTATGAAAACATTTTAATAATCGATGGACAGACCAAAGAAAGAATTTATACTCAATCCATGCAATTGAATGTCTTTCTCCAATCTCCAATCTCCATTCTCCATGGATAATACACGGCCATGGATGATACTGGCCTTATCGCACAAGTGACAGGTTGCTATTACTAACAGTATTAGTATGATGCAATATCTTTTAGACAAAGAAGTTAGATTTAGGACAAATTGAATAAATTAAATAAGATCGTGTCCGTAATCACTGAGCTCCAAACAAAATAGCAAACTATTAAGACTCTAGATGGATGATCGTTAAAAAAAGGTCCATCAAGTTTAAAATCTTATTTCTTATCATCGCAAGTGTCTTCAGGTGGTGCAGTAGCAGCCGCAGGGGTTTCTGCACCTGTGAAAAGAAGTAATCATTCGAAAAGTAAAAAAGAGAAAAAATGCTAACACTATTTACAGAAGAGAAGACTAAACCAGCTCGTCTATACACAGGCCTCTCGAGGCCAAACCAAGATTTCGCTGTTGTACTAACTTTTAAACTATTACAAAGTGATCAAAGTTGGGCTAACCTGACAAGCAACTCTCAGCCCGTGTGCCAGGCCTGCTCGCCTGAATAACTAACCTGACAAGCAACTCTCAGCTCGTGTGCCAGGTCTGCTCGCCTGAATAAAACCGTCGTCTCGGTAATCCTTCCATTCAACTAGAGTAGCAGTAAGTTTAGCAGTGTTGCAGAGGATCGCTGTAGCGTAACTTGCTAAGTGGTGGTGTGTTCTAGCTATTGCTGTAGAAATGTTCACTGAAACAAGCGGTGGTTAGAAAATATTCAGTACGATGAGTTGTTGAACGGGATTGTGATTTCAGTACATTTATAATTTATTATCAAACTATAGCAATCGGTCAGGATGACTAGAAGGGGACCATAGGAGGAGCTTGGTACCCTACTATATAACAGATATTCATAGAAGTATTATCGGAGTTTGTGAAACTTATAAATTTGATCCGAGTGCCGCAATATAAAAACGCGCGAGATTTATAAACATAACCGGATCGAAAATCGAAACGTAATCTCAAAGATTAGTAAAACAACAGCGACATCATGAAAATTAAATCTAGAACTTTTAAAAATACAATCAAATGATTTGGCAACCACTCAATGATGATGTACGGTAACAAATGTGCATGTGGTTAATATTGAAGTGTGAATTCGTCTCAAGCTCAATTCAATTTAGAGATCACAAAAGTCTGAAAGAAAGATTACGCACCCAAAACCTGTTTAAACAATCAGAGTCAATCTGTCGTTAGTATATGATACAGATATTAGATAAGGGAAATCGTTAAAATAATACGAATCTTTATGATTATATATCAATATGCGTTAATTATTTTTTATAAAGTGAAGACTCTAAGCTGCACATGTGTATCATCTCAAATTTCATATCAGTTAATTTGGAAGTCGGGATGTGCTGACTTGTTGGCAAATAGCCAGAGAATTACACTCTATAATTATATTATTTAGCACTTAATTATTAGCAGACTGGATTAACACTGAAGGATGTTTATCGGTTGCTCAGTTTATTCAGTAGAAGGAGGCGGCGCTAGTTTCACCAGATACTGATCAGTTTATTCAGTAGAAGGAGGCGGCGCTAGTTTCACCAGATACTGATCAGTTTATTCAGTAGAAGGAGGCGGCGCTAGTTTCACCAGATACTGATCAGTTTATTCAGTAGAAGGAGGCGGCGCTAGTTTCACCAGATACTGATTCATAATTTCCTCAAACTGAGTCTGCTTCTCTGCAACAGCTTCTAAACTACTTTCGTGGGCTTCAGGTGATGTAGTCCACGCTTGTGCCTCTTCGCATAGTCTGAAAAGAATTAAAAATGTAAATTAGCTATCAAATGATTTGCATCAGAAGTATTCAGTTAACAGTATATATCTTTCCCGGAAACTTCCTTGCTGATAGAGTGCTTTATGTAAAAATATTTGGGAAAAGTATTACTTGTTTGAAGTTTGTTTTTCCTCTTTATTTAACTTTCCTACGATCCGTTCAGGGTCTGTGACTTGACTGTGAATCTGAAGAAATGAAGAAATTCAATTTTAACGTTGCATTGCTCAACCCGCCAACGTTTCCAACTTTAACATTAAATTCCAATTTAATGATAATTTCAACAAAATTTTTCCATGGGACCAAAGCAGCTGATAGATATTACTGCCCTCTATCAGAACAAGTGTCTGGTTTCTCGCCTTTCAATAGAGAATTGTTACAGAAGTCTACGACAATTTGATCAAGGTCGCATCGTTTTAAGACCCCTGGGGCTATGTTGTCGTCACCCCATGTTTTCCCTTCAACGCTTCTGTTCCGATATTCAGAGGTGGGTGGACTGGATCAATATCCTCTTCCGCATTCGCTACTGTTGGTGGTGAACCTAGAGGAGTTGCAAAATAGTCCTTCCGTTTCTGAACTCGTTCCGTCGGTGAGTTGCCCTTGATTTTGCCAGTATACGATGGAGCTTTACCCGTAATCTTGTTGATCATGGTCCAGCTTTTAGCATGCCTGCCCTCTTGCCTCTTCCAGTTCCCGGACCTGCCCCTCCAGCAGTTGCTCTTGGGCTGCTTGATAGGCATCGCCTAGCTTCTGTTTGCCTTCTTGAACAGCTATTCGGTTGTCTTCTGTAGCATCTGAGTGGTATTTTATGCTACATTCTCTCAGCTTCAGCCTAGCATTGATACCTTTCTGTTGCTGTCTGATCCTCCTTTTCAAGTATAGAAAATCGGTTTTTAACTTATACTGTATATCTCTCTTGTAGAGCGATGTCAGTTTTAAGTTTAGACAAGTCCAGAACCGGATCCCTCTTCTCCGTTTCGCTCATCCGGAGACTAAGCTTAATCCTTGCTTAAAGCAAGCAATATTCTTAAAGATACAAAATTTGAATTATATTTTTACAGATATAATAGTTAAATTTTACATCACTAATAGAAGCTCTGAAGTCCTGTAAAGCTTGTGTTTGGTCCAACAGAAATACAGTTCCCTCGTGCCTGTATCGCACCGCTAGAGCTCGTGCTGTTTCGCCGTGACATGTCTTTAAACTGAAATGTTACGTTTAATTTCAAGTTAATTTGATCAAACTGATTATAAGGGCGAACCGGGAAAGAGCTGAAATCCTCTTTTTTCGCTAGTAAGTATTCATTAAGTCATCCAATTCATAGGTGCAGATTTCGTTTTGAGGTGAACTTTTAAGTTCCCGAGAAATTTTCTTAAGTTTGCTTTTTTTCCTCCTCGGGCACATTCGTAACCTACGGGCCAGCAAAACCTAAACTACATATTGACCGTTATGTACGTCGGTATCTGTTGAGGAGCCAAATCATCTGAAAAGCCCTAAACCTATATTTTGCTCAGGCACGTAGCCAGGATTTCTCTTTGGGGGGGGGGGGGCTGTCGGCGAGCGAAGCTGCAAGCTGTGGCAGGGGTCTGGGGGCGCGGACCCCATTGGCGGGGGCTAGGGGGGCGCAGCCCCCCGGAAAAATTTTGCGAAATAGGGTGTTTTAGGCTAAATTGAAAGTTTAATGAATTTACAAAAATGTATAGTTTGGCATAATCATTGCCTACAATCCTGACCTGAGTAATTTACCCCTTTGAGACTTTATTTTGGGTTGAAAATTGAGTTTATCGAGAGGAAGTGAAAAATCTCTGGTTCAAATTTGGATTTGAAGCCATGTTTAATTTTTTCTGTTGAGGTCAATTTTTTGCGCAGAAAGCGTCCGATTTTAGGGGGAAAAATGTATGTTTGCTTTTAATTTTTATGGTGCCGACGGCACCTGAAATCGACGAAATCTGCAGGGGTGATCCAATTATTGACAAGAGTTATTCTATGAAGTGTAGATAATGTTAGTTTGAGCACTATAGTCATCTTCGAAAGTAAGTTGCATGTTGAAAATTGTAGCTAAAATCACCCAAGATTAGCCCCGTGTTCAAGTAGACAGCTAACAGCGTTGATTCGTCCCCAGCTGGAGGCTTTATGTAAAGATGTGTACCCCTGGAAGATTGAGGGGCGTGGTAACTTGTTGAACATTTAATTATTTGATTAATTTAAGCCAGAAACAAATACTAATTTGCGATTAGCAATATTGTATCAAATTCAAAGGGTTGGGAATCGTGATTTATCTCAACTCGTCCGGCTATTTAAAAAACACAAGTAATACATGTATCTAACTATAAAAAAGAATTTCGCCGCGGTTACACCACGGTTCACGCACGATAATTTTCCTTACAATATAGTTGTACCAGTACAGGTATTATTCTAACTCTAAATATAAATGTCTGTTGTCTACTTGCATCCTGGACTTAGAGTGGAGTGTGGCGCACGCGACAATCGTGTTTTCATTAAAGGCGTGCAGAACTTGACAAACATTTTGGGTGTCGCCGTCTGTATATGGTTTGGTTGTACAGTACTGTCACCAAGATGTAACTAGGTCGACAGGTAGGAAATTATTAATTTTGCGCGGTGTTTTGTTTCATGTATAAATAATGCGTGCATCATGTCATCTTAGTTATTATTTCTATCTAACATTCACTAATAAATTTCTAAATTTTGAAGCACCATTGAGGCCTTGATTAATGATTTTATATAAGATTTTTCATAGCAGTCGGATGGCACAACCTTATTGCCTTCCTGGTATGGATGTAAATGCAAAGAAAGATCAGTTGTCAACAATCTATTCACATTTATTTCATTCAGTGCCGAAATAAGATAATTACCGGCTGATATTATAACTTTATAATGGAATTTGTTTTGGCATAGGTTGCTACTACATTTTCCGTCAAATAAGTCACTTTTTACTAATTTCCAGTTATCTGTAACATAAACAATTCGGTGGTTAGAGATGGCATAAAATTTCATAAAATGGAGACTTTTCCAATTCTATGGAGAAAATAAAAAACCCTTGAGTAATTCCCCGTTTATGCCATTTTATGCCATTTTATGCCATGACTTTTGATCATCGAATTACGTATGAAGCAGCTTACTTGGACACTCTAACATGTTTACTTTCGCATACCAGGCTACTCAAAGCTAATACCAAGATATTTAGAAAAAATTAAGATATTTGAAAAACAAATTATTTAACAATTTTTACAAAATTTATACCCTTGTGTTCGAGCTGGAAATTGTTGAAGGTCGAAATACGATAAAAGGGCAAAAATTGTCTTTTTGATATTTAGATTCTTATCTAGATGAATATTGTATTTAAATTATTTCGTCCTTTAGGGTCAAAATTTTGTAAAAAACGGCGTTTTTAAAATTTTTAAGTTTTTAAATGGCACAAAATGGCATAAAATGGAGACTTTTTCGATGGAAAAACTGGAAAAACTGGAAAAACCCATGAGCAATTATCCATTTATGCCATTTTATGCCATTGCCCCCCCCCCCCCACCCCCTCCCCCCTATCAATGTAATGTGAACGATTTTTGAGGAAAATGTGACGAAATGAATGAAATTAGTCATTTGGATGTTCAAATGGTTTGCTGATTTTTGGCACTCTGTTAAATTGATCATAAGTCATATTCTGCTTGAGCCTGGAACTTGAGCTGAATATTTTCATTTCATCATAGGTACAAATCAATGGTTGCACTATAAAAAGCATTTCCTCAGTTTTTTTACTCTACTTTGAAAAAAGTAAAATCAGTGTCATTTTTTATAAACATGTCCTTAATTATAGTAATACGCTAAATTCCTAAATTCGATTAATTTAAACTATTCGAAACTTGTACAACAGTCGTCAACCACTAACAACTGGTTGCTA